ATAATTCTTCCTCCTATAGAACAGGGTGTCAAACTCAAGGCCTGGGGGCTGGATTCAGCCCATGGGGTACTTAGATCTGACCCATGGGGCCACCCTGGAAACAGCGAAGGACCAGCCCATGGTGCCTCTCCCAACAAAAACAACTCTATTTTTGTTGGCAGAGGGTTGCAGGAGGCTCTCGCCAAAAATGGATCTCGGGAGCCCATTTTCATTGGTAGAGCGCTCAGGCGACCACAGGCACCTGACCCGAGTGATGTCGAGCTGGCCATCCCCACCCTGGCTCTCCAAGGTCAAATGCAACACTGATACAGCCCTCAATGAAATCAAATGTGACACCCCTGCTCTAGAATTTAGATACTGAAATTTGTATGTTTTAAAGGACAAAACCAGTATTTCAGACTGATTGCCAGATTACAAAACCAAACATTGAACAAAGTGTAAAAGTTAAAGAATTTATTCAGGTTTGAATTTATTGTTAGATTCTGATTATCATACAAGCAACTACTATAAAAACTCTTCTTTTAATCTTTCAAACGTCAGTCATTGAGTTATTCAGTTGTGAGGCACTGTGAAGTGGGGAAGGTGGGGGAAGAGGGAGAGAAAGAAAGAAAGTTGGTTTCTGTAAGCAGATATACGGTGTACCTAAAGTTCAATAAACTGGTTTTGTGTCCAAACCACGTATATTAGGAGTTGATAATTACATTTAAATTCTTGAAGTACACTTACAAACAGAATTGAAACTGCTAATAATTTAATTGACTTCTAGGTGATGCTTGCAAATATTTTCTGCACAGAAGCTTGTTTTGAGAATAATTACACAATAGTATCATTACAAAAAGGTAAGTGTTACAACTGACTTCAGTACTGCTGCTTTAGCTGTAACAAAGTATCTTTAAAAATCCTTCAACTAAAAAAAAAGTTCCTGGTGATTTAATGGGCCCATGGACATGATATTTTGAGGCCATTTCTTTGGAGATGGCTTGGTATTGTCTTCTTTACAGTTTTTTTTTAACATCTGGATCTGGCCTATTGATCTTATACCCTCTGAAAATCTTCAATCCAATTACTTAACTAGATCTTACCTTACTCGGCTTCTGAGCCTAGGTTGGCCAGATACTGGCAAGATCTGACAAAATTGTGTGATTTTAGGTTTTAGGATCATTGGGGTTTGGGAACTTACTGTCTTTAGTTCTAGATGGGTGGCACCTCCTCACATAGACCTTGTGCGGGTCCTTCTTGACTCACAACTCCTGCTCAATGAGAAGTTAACAGTCCTAGGAGACCCTTTGGGTGTCTTCAGGTTGTGTACCAGTTGACCCCATTCTTCATTGGGAAGCTCTGCTTGTAATTGCTCATATGGTCAGCTCCTGCATGGATTACTGAAACCTCCTGTATATGGGGCTGCCCTTGTAGAGCATCCAGAAGGTTCAGCTTGTGCCACAAGCAGTGGTGTGGGCACCTACATGAAAACATGTTACACTTTTGCTCTCCAAGTCTCCTTGATTACCAGTATGCTTCCAAGGTGTTGGTAATGACCCCTAAAGGCAGAGGACTGGGTTATTTGAGGGACTGCCTTTCCCCAGTTGCATCTACCCATCCCATCAAGTCTAGCAGCAGNTTTTTCTTCAAAAAAGGAGCAATTATTTGAAATGTATATTTCAACTGGCTGCAGGTATAAAGCTGATAAAAGTTATACTGGCTAAGGAGGGTCATTTTCACTGACCCCCTTGGGTTCTTCAGCCTACATGCATTTAAGAAAGCAAGTATGTTTTCTTGGTTGCTAATAGAATGGAAATAACTGTCAAAAACAAAAAGTTTGAAACTTAAAAGATAACCTCATTGCAAAAACCATGTCAAAGCATTAATTTGGTTTTTTAAGCATATTTAACGTTTAATACAAACGTTCTTGGTTTGTATTAAAATCAACAAACCAACAAAAGATCAATTATGTTCTTAATATATTGATTTTGAATAGCCATCTACATTGTGTGCATAAAATGAGCCATTAAACTCAAGGCTGCAAAAAGTCACCCAGTCATGACTAAAGTACTCAATATGTACTTTATGTCCATGTCTCAAGTTGAGTATATATTGAAAATATATAGTGTCTAGATTCTTTTTTTTCCTTTGCAGGAAAGTGTTGCGAAGCTTGAACAAAACGTCTTTGATTTTGGGAAGACAGTTGAAAATTTACTAATGAGATTTGGCAAGGTAAACATGGTCTGATCAGAATAATAAATCAGAGGGTTTTTTTAATCTGTCTTCTCACTCTTTTGTTGTCACATCCTACATCCTAGGCAAATTAAATGTCTGAAGTTTCCTTCCACTAAAACACTACCTTAGGATATACGTAAATCAGTGGTTGTTTTCCATACTCTGACAATTTCAAAATTAATATAGCCTACAGAAATTTTTTTCACTAACCACATACCAGTATGGCGATATGATGAATACTGTATTTGTTTTTAAGCATAACAACTCATGATGGCTAGTGATTATTACTGTTTTCTTTAATACTAGACTATTGTGGATGAGCAGCTGGTTCTTAAAAAAGTGGCAGACATTGTCATTAATTTATATGCAATGACTGCAGTCATATCCAGGGCTAGCCGATCTATCTGCATTGGTTTGAATAATCATGATCATGAGGTGAGTTTGTTTTACATCTTAATGTGATGAATAATACATATACTTGACGGTATAATAAAGCAGACAGAAGGGAGAAATTCAGATTATTTTTACTTTTAACCAAGAACAAAGTTTATGTATATTTCCAGTTGCAGCAGTTTAAAAGAAATTAAAAAATGAATTATCTTGTCACTTATGATTTTTAAAAAAGATTAGATTCTTGCTTTATTTCTCCAGTGCATCATAACATTAGCATAATTTCAAAATACTTTGGCTTATCCGTGATAATTTCCTTATCATTAAGCTAAATTGAACTTCATGTACAAAGTTTGCACAGAGATGTTGTAGACGAACAGAAATGACTACTGTCTACCATGTTATTTGATTATCCTCCCTTCACTAGTAGATGAGCCACAATAGGCTTTTAACAATGAATTAGCAAAATAATTCNTTCATTTCTAGAGTACAGCACCTTTGGCCAACTCTTTTACATGCACACTATCTACCAATATCATTTCCACATTACCTGGATTCTCTGTTTTATCCATTGCTGAGACATGCTTCTTGAAAGGTGAATCCTGTGGGGGATACCTCTTGTAGTGATATGAACGATTCTGACAAATTAGTCTGGGGGAAAAGCACTCAATGGTTAGACTAGAAGAAACATATGTTGAAAAGTGATTAAAATGCTAAATATTCAGGTTTGGATGGGCTTAAATCAAAATGAAGTGTTGGCTTGAGAAGTGATGGTGTGAATTCTCTCCCAGAAAAGAGATCTTTACATCAGTCAAAGCTTTCTCATTTTTAAATTAATTTTATTAAAGATTTTTATGCAATATTTTTTTTAAAAAAAAATAAAAGTGAAGAAAAGTGGTAAGTAAGGAAGAAATAAAAGGGATAAAAAAAGAATCAAGAATATATATCACATGGCTTCCAATCTTCTATACAACAGTCATAAATGCATTTATATTTTATCCTCTAAGATTACATAATAGCAATAGCACTTAGACTTATATACCACTTCACAGTGCTTTACAGCCCTCTCTAATCAGTTTACAGAGTCAGCATAGTCCCAACAATCTGGGTGTTCATTTGACCCACCTCAGGAGGTTGGAAGGCTGAATCAATCTTGAGCCTGTTGAGATTCTAACTGCCAAATTGCAAGCTGCAGCCACTAGTAGTTGTCTGCACAACTGCACTCTAATCAGTGTGTCATCTTGGCTCATAATGGTTTCCCTTTTCCATATTCTTCCCTTTCTAATTATCAAACCCATAAATCAGAAGTTTTCTTCATTTTCAGCAAAAAGTCCATAAAGAAAACTTATTTTTCCAATCACAAATACAATGATTTCATCCCAAAAGTGCTTTTTCAAGAGGCAACTGGACTTTCTGGTTTTTCTTTGAAGATGTTTTCACTTCTCATCCAAGAAGCTTCTTCAGCTCTGACTGGATGNTATATATTTTGATTTCTTTTGAGTTTGACAATATAATATGTTATCCAAAATTATAAATAATCTTATTTTCAGATGCATTTTTTTGCCATCTCTGTTATTTTCTTTTTTAAAAATCAGACTTGCTTCCAATTTGTGCCTTCTGGCAAACTGCAGTTTTCTTGGCAAGTGATCTAGCTTGCTATTGTTTTCATCATCGGTCTGACAAAGTAAGTTAGTTTCTTTCTTTCTTTCTTTCTTTCTTTCTTTCTTTCTTTCTTTCTTTCTTTCTTTCTTTCTTTCTTTCTTTCTTTCTTTCTTTTTCTCTTCCTTTCTTTCCCCCTGATTTGTTTCCCTCTATTTTCCCTCTCTCTCATTCTCTCCTTCCAGCTCTCTTTCATTTCTTTCTCTATCTCTCTCTCTCTTTCTCCCCTTCTCTCTTTCATCTCTTTCTTGCTCGTGCAAGCAAAATACAATCCTGGGCCGGGATCATGCCACACTGAGAAGTGAGTAGCTGGCTGTGCTGCGCAGGAGACTCCTCAGCGCCAGACTCAGGTCAGCAGCAGCCGTGGTCTCCTTCGTGTTGGCTCAGGAAAGAGCCGGAGCAGCTGTCACTGGATGCAGAGAGGAAAGAGTTCCAGAGCTCTGCGCAAGGAGAGCCCTGTGCAGTGCAGGACAACTGGAGTTTTTCCCTCCCTGCACTCAACCAGCTGCTGCTGCTGCTCCCCATTCCCCTCCTTCCTAAGCCTTCCTTTCCCAGCGTCCTCTGTGCTGCGCGGGTCTCTCTTACCCCACTCCTCGCCTCCATTCCGGCTCCTACTTTCCCCCCACCCACAACACAAACACACATACATACATGTACACTCTGATCTTGGGTGCTCGGCTGCCTTCAGCGAGAGGAGCAGCAGACCCATCAGTCTTCTGGCACCTTCTCGCCAGCCTCTCCGTGAGAGGCTTTTCGGCGACCCCTGTGGAAAGGTCATTTGATCCCAGAAAGGGGCGCAACCCACGGGTTGAGAAGCGCTGCTTTAAAGCATATATGCCCTTAATTGGCAAGGAGCCTCACTGAACATCTTTGCTATGCTCTCCCCTACTCTACAAGTCCAAGTGCTTAGAACCTGTACATCAACATCTGGCTATTCTGATCATGCCTGTTTGATCAGCCTCAAGAGATTTCTGGCTCAATGTCTCCTAATGCTGGCATTCAATTGGTTCAACCAGAGTAGCTTCTCTGGACTCTATCTGAGTCCTAGGCCATGATACATAGTGATAGAATATTAAGCTAAGCACTTCTGTATTGTCTAACACACTAATAGTATCTATTTATGAAACCCAGGTCAGACTGCAGACTGAAATGGGATATCACTGATATGTTAACAATATATTTTTGTTTTCTTTTTCACCTGATTCAGGTGTGATGGTAGCTATTCTTAAACAGAATGAAAGAATCCTGATAATAATGAAGTAGAGAAGTAAATTCATAATGAATTAAGAGAGTAATGATTTAAGAGAACATTTTGTTCTTAACTTCAGGGACTTATCCGTTTTAGTGGAGGGAATGATTAGGGATGAATGATACAAATAGTTTGGACGACAGCACAAGCAGCAGACTATTAAGCAAGTAGATGATAGAGAAATTGTTATCCTCAGCAACAAGGATCTTAAAAAAACAATTGGATTAAAAGACTGCAAATTATCACAACTATAATGTGAAAGCATTCTATTCATCCTAGATCTAAATTGTGATGGGCAAACAGGAGGAAATTATACAGCAATTAAAATTCATCCCAATATAATGGATGTCTAGTGTCATCATGTCTGGGCTAGTTTGAAGAGTAAAATATATATGGTGTGAGTATGAACGGATTGTCAAAAAAACTGCAAACTACAGAATCAATTTGCACTATTCAGGTGACCCTGAGGACAAAAAAAAAACTTCCAAGTGCCTCAAAACTCTTTAAAAGGATACAAAAAACAACAACCTTGTGCTCATTCACATCTCTTGCCAGGAGTATAAATCCTTCCATTCCCCACTATCCAGTCAGAGCTGAAGAAGCTTTTTGGATGAGAAGCAAAACATCTTCAAAGGAAAACAAGAAAGTCCAGTTTCTTCCTGAAAAAGCACTTTTGGGACAACCATGACCTGGATGACTGAGAATCTCGATACTAAATTCTAAATTTAGTATCGATTCTAAATACTGTAAGATATATAGTAGACCCATAACCCAGCAATTAGTGTGGACACACCAGCGGTGGGTTCCTGCCAGTTCTAACCTCCTCTATAGAAGAAGTTCCACAAATCTACAGTGTCATCTAGAACTGGTTCCAGCTCCCTCCCCTTGCCCATCCGCACATCAAGATGAAGAGCGAGAGGTGGAATTCTGGGAGTTGAAGTCCACAAGTCTTAAAGCTGTCAAGTTTGAACACCCCTGGGTTGTTTTTTTTCTAAAGTGTTAGGGATGCAAGGATCTTGTAACTTGACAGCTTTAAGACTTGTGTGCTTCAAATGCCAGAGTTTCTGAGCCAACATTTTGGTTGCTAAGCAAGAG